CACGAAGATACCCCCGATACCCTGGCATGCCAACGGCTGGTACTGGGTCTTCGCACTCTTGACTGAATGCGAAAAATCGGAGAACAGGAAGGTTCTCTTTGGTCCGCAGGGTGGCGAGGTAAGTAAATATCAATGAGACCACTTCAGCTGTCTCAACGGCGGTGCAGGACATCCAAGGAGAGACGAAGAATGCGGTCTTTCGTCGAATTGGGCAAACTCTATTTCCGGAGTATTACAAGCAGGATAGCGGGACCCTTACAAACAGGATTCGGGCTCAGATTGAAAGGTAAGAAAGCTGTCACACCTGGCGAGTTATATCTGAGTTAATTGCGCACAGTTTGACCTCCATGTACCGCGAACACTCAAAATGGCTCAAAGTGACCGGGGGAGGGAAGGGAGGCAACGACGAGTCTCCCGTGGAGCAGGATGTCTACCTGAGTGGCTGGTACATCCACTGACTGGTCCTGACCAGTCAAACTGCGAAGATGCGAAGAATCTGTGGGGTAAGCCGTGTGTTTACAATCCGCACCTCTGACTGACGAAATCTCAAGAGCAAATCGAATTGGAATTCCCGCCATTCCCTCGCCTTCATGCCATCCTTGCCACCAAGCCAAATCACAATCCGATTGCGGTCACGACGGGTGTTGGTCCCCATGGGCGGCAGACGGTTCACCTGCAGCCCCCGAGCCCCCGTCTCAATGGTGAACGTGCTGCGCTGGCATCGTTGGATTCCAACATCGACCTATCCACCCTGCAGGATGCTGTCATGACACCAGAGCTGCAGGCCCAGTATACCGACCTGCTCGCAATGTTAGGCTCGACCGATTGTGAGATGCCGGCTGCCCCCTCTTCCGCAAGCACCAAAGCTCGTACAACGTCCACACCATCGTCCACGCCTGCGAGTTCCGCTCGCAAAGAGAACAGGGCACCGTCGAATACGCCTCGTTACGCCAAGCCGTCACTCAACATGTCGAATTCGTTTGCGTTGGGTTCCCGATACGAGCGAAAGGCAAATGACCTTGGTAGCACGATTCGGGATATCATGATGTAAGTGATGATAATGTTTGCCTTAGACATCATGACGCTCACCCATTTGCTAGGCAAAATTTACAAGTTCGTGAGATGCATGACCACCGTTGGCATGCCCTCGAGTCACGTCGAGTCCTCCTGGAGGAATTTCGAGAGGGAATCTGGACACGCGAAGAATATGCGCAGAAGCTCCGTGAACTCGAGAGCATGCCTTCTGGGTCAGTTTCTCACCGAAGCCGTTCAGCCTCACCTCCTCGGTGTCCTAGGTCTCCGGAGTGGGGATCTATCAAGGAACCAGAAGAAGAGCTTTGATGCTGCACGCAATAATCATACTCTTTCTTTCACCTTTAATCAACCCTAACCCCTCCATTTATTACAGTAATATGAATGTATCTATTTTATGATTGCCGTGATGCAAGCAACTCATCAATGAGCTGCCTACGCTTGGTTTCGCCTTGCCTATCCCCATTGATCTGAGGTTCAGCAGCCTGTGCATCTTGATCCGGCTCGGGTGGAAGCCCTTCTGCAATGAACATATCATGATAGCGTGTCCCTTCGGCTTCGATAAGAAAGTTGTGGAAAATGATTGCTATAGTGATCCATTTGCAGGCCTTGACGTGCTCTTCCTTGTTCTGAATGTGTACCCGTAGTCCACGGAGGCACTGCCAGCGGCCTTTGAGAAGCCCCATGCAATGCTCGCTCCGAACCCGGATATTGGAGACAGCCTTGTCAAACATGGCTGCATCCCGTCGCAGTGATGCAGGTTTCTTGTGTACCGGGATTGTATGCTTGGTGCAGCTGTATGCAGAGTCCACCCAGGCAAACTCATTGCCTTTAAACATGAACTCGGGGTACTTGTAGGCAGCAGTGTGCTCAAATGCGGACTGATCGTGTGCTGAGCCAGTAAGACCATGGGAGTAATCGACGATGCGTAGGTTAGATGGTACATTTCCAACCTATTTTGTATATGAGCATGATGTATAAAGATAAGATGATCCACTGACCTGTAAGTTCAGACCGTAGTTACCTTTTCGGGTGTAGTATGCTTCACCATCCAAACCAGGCTTCTCAAATAAGACGATGATTGTGCCATCGTACATAACCCAACCTTCTCTCCATAGACCACCAAGCCCGACATGCTGTTCCACCCAAATCTTCTCAACCTCAGTCTCCTCTGGTGACAACGGGCGGACAAATCTGTCATGGAGGGACTCGATGGCTGTAAACACCCGCTCTGTGTACCGTTCAACGGTCCCTTCAGAGCAGCCAGCCTGGCGGGCAATGTCCATGACAGAAGCACCATTTCCATAATGCCCAAGTCGGTAGAGCGTGATCAGGAGCTGCCATTCAACAGGTGCTTGCGGACGACGTCCATTGCTTTGGAAGATGGTGTGATTTTGGATGAGTTGAACGAGCATAGCAAAGGACCGTGGCTCCATTCGGATCATGTTCACAAAGCGTGGATGATGAGCAGGTTCCTGAGCATATGCAAAGGCGATATTCAAATGAGTCGATTTGGGAACATGGATGCGGGGATGCATGTAGCGAGTCTCGAGAATTG